GATGTTGTAGCCTTCTACTGCCTTTCTATTAGTGAGAGATGGGGTGTGAAATTTGCTGGCCCTGCCAAGATTATCCCATTAAATTATCTGCCCTCTTCCAATGTAATTCACTCGGGGCAACAGTTTGAGACTGAGGCCCTGTGGATGTCCATGCCTGGGCATGCTGAGCAGGGAGGTGTGAAGGAAAAAGTTCAGGTGGGGGTAGCATCCCAGTGACATAACATCAATCCACGTTTCACTGCCTTACCAAAATAGAGTGGATGCCACAATTATCCCATTCCTAAACAAACTGAAAACCCCAACTGAGCTTACTGCAACAAAGAGAGAGCCTTTTTACTGCCGTTTATTTTTATTTTGTATTCGTTAGCTTTTTAGATATTCCTGGCATGCAAGTCAGGCTCCGTGTAACAAGCAGCTGCATTTAGTTAAGGATTTCGAAGAGTTCCCCCCACTGCACCCCCACCCCACCATCTCCACCCTCTCAACTCCAGAGAACTTTCTCAGACTCCTAGAAGACTATTCCTTTCTCTCCATATGTCTACAGAACAGTCTCTCCTGTCACACATCAGGGAATAGGTAAGGCCAGGCTGAGGGCTTTCTGTTTGAGAAAAAGGCCTCAGAGACTTGTTTCCTTGCTAGGGCTACATTTGCCAGGGTCTGGTCCACACAGGGCTATGGGAGCAGGCAAGCCAGCTCTCCCACTAGGAGACACTCTAATAAATAGTCCCTACACAACCTACAACCCAAACTGTACAAATACAAAGGCACTTCATCCAAATCATCACTGGTTAAAAGGAACTGCCAGACACACTCCTCCAACTGCCTCAAAATTGGAGTTCATTACAACAATGTGATTTCTCCTGATGAGAAGTACAGACCATCACAGGCTTTTCTCGTCTTTCCCTGAGTTACAGAAAGACTGGCTCAGGGAACTCCAGCATAGGAAGTAAAATTGAAATTGGCTGCCTCCAATTGTTTCTTATAACCCCTAGATATGGCTAAGAAAATGTCCCCCTGTTGCTCTTGGAAAACCTGGGGAAATGGCATCTTTGGCCCATACATAAATACAGTATACATTTAAAGGCTTAAACCAGGAGAGCCTGTCTAGAGCAACAGCTAAGGTAAGACCATGAGCTCTTAGGGTTTGTGAGCCCAGCAATGCCATTTCCTAGCCATGTGACCTTAAGAGGATAACTTAACTTCTACACCTAAAATAAAATGAGCTAATTATTCTACCTCCCATATAGGGCTCTGGTGAGAAGTCAGTGTGTTGATACTTATATGCTTAGAATGGTGACTGGCCCATTTGTAAGGATTATGCAAGTGTTTGTTAGATAAATTGTGCAAACAGAGGCATCTCAGAATGCCTGCATTCAGGGAAATACATTCATAGTTGAGGTCAAAGAACTTGGCACCATTCTTCAGCTTCTCCCAGGCCCAATAACAGCTGGCTTGGTAGGAGGGGAACTGGAAAGTGAGGAAAAATAGAGGCTCCATGGATTGTGCAAATTTGGGCAAAAGACCAGGACCCACCACCAACCCTCAACCCATGGCAACCTACCCAGGAAGGCAATTCCTTGCCCCAGACATCAAACCCTCAACTCAGTGGCTCCTATCTTTTTGGGATTACAGTTCTCTTGGAAAATCAGATTATAGACAGAAATACTCAACCTCAAAAATGGACTTAAAATTGTGTATATTACTTCTGGGGGGTTGCATATGCTCCATTTCAGGCACCCCAAGTTCAGACCCTCTAGCCTGGGTGCTCTTCTCTAATACTTGATATTCATGGTTTCATTTAAATCTCACCACACCCTGGAACAGCTCAGAAAGACTAGTTGACATACCCAGCATGTGGCAGAGAAATGATTCAAACCCATGTCTGTTAAACTCCAACACAGGAGCTTATACCATTAAACTGTACTGTTCAATTCTACTACACTCTTTATACTAGAAGACGGGGCAAGAAAAGGAAAAATCCCTGCAAATATACCACATGGCATTTTTACTAAGAAAATAAGGATTATAACACAATTTTATATATAACCAAAAAGTTATTCACTCAACAAAAATTTATAGATCACTTACTATACAGGAATGTATATATACGTCATTTATACAGAGATACACATCTACATTGACAGCACACAGTCTACAGGGCATTCCATTCTCCATAGGATGCTGGGTAAAACTTTCAAAAATACTTGAAATGGGGTCTGTGGTCACCATCAAACCACAGCCAACTTAGATACTAATGGATGCAAGTGACAGACCATTCAGAAACTTTCAGGGCCTATACTCACCACGCAGGAGATGGAGAGGGCGAAAACATAGACTGAAATCAAATTTTTAAAAGGACTCCCAGCTAGATATAAAGATAATCCCAAGCATCAGAGCAGCAAAACAGCCTAGCAGGTACACTGAAGCAAGACTGGAAATTAAATATTTCCCACACATTGCCAAGGGCAGTGCGACCACACCCTTTGTCTCCTGGCTTTGTGTGGCTCCCCTAGGGAGGATTTTCAGGCATCTCCAATAAAGCTGAGGATGGCTGACTGGGCTTTCAGTGTCTTCACCAGGAAAATTAACAGTCTTATTGCCCTCAAGAGACTCCTATCCTAAAAGTAGACAGAACAGACACCTATTAAAATGGCACTGGAAGGTTTGCAGAATAACAGCAAATACAGTAGCAGGCCACCTCCCTCTCTGACTCCAGTGGACAAACCACAGAATCTACAGGATTCTGAGAAGGCCCAGATGAGTTCCTAAGACCCTGAGCTCTGGGTGCTGTTATAATGGCTTTGGCTTCCTGGATAGGTTTAGCTCGGGTTGGGTAGGACATAGATGGGGAGATCAACAATGAACAAACCAGAAAAAATAAATGTAAAGGTTTGCTCCTCCTGGCTAACAAAATAGAAAAGTGACGGGAGAAATGCTGAGCATTTTTTAAAATAAATAAACATATCTCCCCTTAAGCCGATTTCCTGAGCCACTGGCTGAATTACTTCAAGAATCTTGGATCAGACAAGAAAGTAAATCAGCTCCACTAGAAGAGTTGTCCCAGAGAAAAGATCAAGCATTCACAGAAATGGAAAAGGATTATTAGATGACAAATAAGACAATAATAACAGATTTGATCTCACTGTTGAAGAGTTTGGAATAGGCAATAGTTTTTTCTGAAAAATCTTAAAAGCCTGCAGACAGTTAAAGGAGACAGCATTTGGGTGACTGTTGCATTGTGTAGACACTTATTTAAAGGCAGACAACCAAAGAAAGGTGCAGGGTGCTTCCCTGCTCCCCACCGCCTGCCTGGATCTGAAAACAACCATTGTTGGAAGGTCCGGTAGAAGTAAAGGAGTCCACAGGGGAAATAACCAAATTAATCAAGGACCCAAGCTAGGAAACCTTCCTTAGCTGGAATCACCCCGGTTATCTCTACCTCAATTTGCCAAGCAATTTGACATCAGGACGTTTATCTTGTTTAGGCAGCATGGCCCATTTTTAACTTTTCATCCAGGTGGTTGGTGGTATGAGGCCAGATGTTTGGCATCACCAAAGCACACATCCATGTGACCAAGCTGTTTACATTTCATTAGGGTTTTTCATCAGGAAGGTGCACTCCCTGCTGATGTACATCTTAATTACAATTAGGAGCTGTATTTAAGCAGAGGAGCCTCCAGATGAGCACAACCACACTATAGGATCAGTTTCAGAAGCATCCTCAAAAAATGCGGTTCCCACTTCTCCAAAAAGTCATCTCTAGGAAATCAAAATTCACATACAACTTCCTTCCAGAGTGTGTTTTCTACCACGAAAATTTTTAACCAGATTTTAGGAAAAACTAGTTCAGTAGTCATAGTGTATGTAGTGAATAGATCTTTTTCCCCTACACTGTTAGAGCCCAGAACCCTTTCTTTTCCTAAAACACAGCGCTAACTTAAAAATGAAAGTTGCATGATAAAAGAGCAGAGACCTATTTGTCCGCAAGAGTTTGGGCTGGGAATGGAGTGAAGGAGAAAAGAATCCAGTGGCTCCAGCACCTCCTCAAGGGATGCATGTTAAAAGTGAGGCCCAAGACCCCGGATACTTTAATCAACTTTCCCCCTTCAACCTCCAAAGAATGAATCGGTTGTCTCCACAGGCGCAGCCAGGCTCTTCCCTCATTGTGTACCGGCTCAGACGCAGCAAGGATCCACGCTTCCCGCAGCGAACTAAGTAGTTCGGGCTTTCGATGGAGTCTTTCTCTAACTGTTGAAATTGTCTTTGGAGATTACCAAAATCAAGTATGCATTAGATGGCTTCTCCCCTTGTGTGTAACACACAAACACACACACACACACACACACACACACACACACACACACACACACACACGTGCACACTCGGAGCACTTTGGAGCAGCAGACCGCCTCTGACAGCACATTTTGTACAAAGTGTCGGCTGCGGCGGCAGCGCACACGTTGTGGCCTCCATCGTGACCCTCCAAGAAAGCTGGAGAGCGGGAGGCGGTGGAGATGCTAGGCCGCCCGAGCCCTAGGGCAGCGCTTTTGTTTGGGTGGGTCTGCGGACAACCTGGGTTCTCGAAGGCACTACTGAAAATAAAACTCCCTCCTGGACCGCGCTTTCCGGGATGGCTGCTATCTGGGAGAAGAATAGACTTGCCTGAGCACCGACTGGGGCACAATGTGGGTCCAGCGGGAAATGGGGGGACAAGCAGCACGCAATGGCCCCCATCCCTCCACGCTTCCTGTCAGCGCTGACAACTGCTGCTGGGCGCCGAGGACAAGGTCCTCGGGCGCACGCCAGCGCGCAGCCGGGCTCCAGGGCGAATCCTCGCCCGCCAGCCCCGGCGCCCGCAGTCGCGTTTGCGAGACGCTGGGCATTTCGCCGGCCGCCTCCCGCGGTGGGCGCGGTGCTTCCCGTCTGCCCAGCGCCCAGCTGGCCGACAGAAGGGTCGCGAGGGCCGGAGAGGATCGGGAGCCGGCGGATGCGCCTCTTACCTTGGGCAGCGGCCCCGCGCGCCGCCAGCAGCAGCGCGGCCAGCAGTTCCAGGAGCGGCGGGCGCGCCCCGCGGCGGCGCGGCCGGTGCATTCCTCCCCTCGCAGCGGCGGCGTGGGCGGCGGCGTATCCCGGGCCGAGCGCAGAACATCCACGGGCTCTGCCCAGGGTCCCGGCCGCTCTCCCCGCAGGATGCCGGGGGCGTCTGCAAAGTTCTTTGTCCCTCTAACCTGCTCCCTCTCCGCCGCCCGGCCGCTTGAGGACCCCGTAAAGGCGATCCCTCCCCAGCCCTCCGGCTGCAGCCGCGCCTCTGCCGGCTGTTCCGGCCAGCCCCGGGCTGCCGGTGTCCCACCAGCGGAGGGCGAGTCTCCCCGCCTCGGACTCTGCGCTCGGCGGCTGCCGTCCCGGGCTCCCTCCGTGGCGGCTGCGGCGGCTCCTCCGACTCTGCGCGCTCGCTTTCTTGCTCTCAGTCTCCCTTAACTTGTCACTTTCCACCAACTCTCCAACCCCGCGGCCCAGCCCCAACCAATGGCAGACGCGCGCCCACGCCGGCCACGCAGCGCCCTCTGCCGCCGCCTCTCCGCACCCGCACGCTTCCTGACTTTGCAGGGAGTTGACGCTCCCGCGCCTCCCGCAAACCCACAGCCCCTCCCCCACGCCTCAAACCTGCACCCTGGGTCCCCGCGACGCCATTTGACAGGTGGGGAAACCGAGGCTCAGGGAGACTTGTCTGGGCTCTTAAACGAGTTCGTGGCCGCATGGCTTAATTGGGAGATAGATTCTAGCAGTCTCAGCTGGGCCACTGGTAGCCGTGTGACTGGGTTTTAGAACGTTTATCACACGGTTTCCATTTTGATTTACTCTTTGGCCCAAGTGATTTATTTTCCCAGTGTGTCTTTAATTTCTAGCTTCAGTGCATTGAAATCGCTGTCATCTCTACTGCTTCTTTTTGGAGATTTATTGAGGATTTTTCTTTGGTCATTTTTTGTGTATGTCCTGTGGTCTCTTAAAAGAAGGTGTTTTTCTGTATTCAGAATGTGGAAATAAATGACTGTCTTAATTTTATCTTCTTTATATTTGTTGTGTTATTTAGGCCACTTGTACCTTTGCATATTTTTTTTGTTGAGCTGTTCTGCCATGGTCCAAGGAGGTCATTAAAGTTTTCTACTAGCATATGTTCTTGGCTGTTTCTCCTGGCTAAGTGTTATGAACTTTATGATGCATAAATACTCATGACATTTTGACTTTCCCTGTAGAGAAGGCCCTTAGTAACACAAAGTGGTTAAGTACCTGCTGTGTTCCAGGCCCTGCTTAAGCTCTGAAGAGGCAAGAGCAATAGGGACACAGTCAGTCTTTCTCTAGATGAACACCAAGAAGCCCACAGTCTATCCATAATCACTAACTGAATACCTTCCGTTTGCCTAGTGCTTTGGGTGCATTGGGTCATAAATATTCCAGTGATACTTGTAAAAGGTCATTACAAAATTTTATACCTCTGCACTTCTACATAGATGATCCCCATGTTACAGTTTTAGAAGCTGAAATGTAAAATATGAGTAAGTGACCTGCCCACAGTCACACACACAACAGGTGGCTAAGCCAAGATTCAGTCTTCACCATGATGGGGCACAAAGTCATTGGCCAGAGCCTGGCATAAAACAAGTACTCAGTCAATGGCATTGGTCCTTACTGCTGCAGCAATAGAGTCTAGGAACCTGGCTTTAGGATTTTATAATGAGCAGTCACCTCAGTGGGCCCAGGACTTTGCAGTCCAGAATATGTCCCAGCAGGTCATAGGCTCTGGACACTCAGCCCTCTGCCTTCAGGCAGGTGAATGACTAACCCATATGGGACAAACAGTCACTTATTCTTCCCCAAGACTGCAGGACAGGAGTATCCCCAGCTGCCTTAGTAGATTTCCCCCTTTCTATCACTCTGACCTGAGGTCAAGGAATGATAGACAGAGAGGCCTTAGGTCAACCAGTTCATTGCCCAAATAGGTCTGTCCTCCAAGTTGCTCTGCCTAAGATCCATTCAATCCTGTCTCAATTATCTCTAGTCACTTGCCTGAGGAACTTACTGCACAAGGTTCTCTTGTTAGGAAACTGTCTTTGATGGTCGGCCTCTATGCTACTGCCCAGAAATCAGAGGAAACTCGCTGGCACTGCACATGGCTGAACAGTCTTCCCTCATCTCCAGTACTGCACACAGTTGCCAGACAAGGAGCCATTCCTGTCCACCCACCCTTCCCCCGCCCCCACCCCCACCCCATTACTGCTTGACCCAGGTATCTTAGGTAACACACGGCTGCCAATGCTGAGTATACAGAACTTAATGGCACTTTTATCAGTATTTAAACCTTCCAGGAACTTAATCACAGAATCATAGACGTGAGGAATGTGGCAGCTGGAAAAGGGCCTTGGAAATTAACTAGTATATCCCCCTCAACATTTTATAGGGGAGGAACATGGGACTCAAGGAGGTGAAACCTCCTTGCCCAAGGTCATACTGCTGGCCAGAGCCAAAACTGGACCCTAAAGCCAGTTGGCCTAGGCCTGGGTGAGCTCTCCCTCAGTCAGCCCAGATCCCTATAGTTTGGCTGTAACACACTAGTTCCCAAAGGCTAGATTAGGAAAGGCTTTTCCTGTTTAAAAAAAAAGACAAAAGAATACTTCATGCAAGTTCAGTAAATTGACAGTGCTTAGGGCACAGGCTGGGGACCAGGCTGCCTAGGCTCATGCTCCAGCTTTTCTTGTCTCTGCTGAGTGACGGTGTACGAACATCTTAGTCCCTCTGTGTTTCAGTCTCTCATCTGTATAATAGTGACGATGATAATAGTGCCTATTCTGTACTGGTGTGAATGTTAAATGAGTAAACTCATATAAAGCGATTATGACTATCTGGCACAGAGTAGGAACGTAATGAATTTTAGATATTATTATATCATCATTATTTACATTTGTAAGCTTACACAGACCATCAAAATCCTTATGAGGTCCACTGATGTCCTCACATCCACACCACGGGGCCTATGCTGGAAACTGAGAAGCCTCTTCCCCTTGCAATGTCCTCCAGAGCCTGCTACTGAAAAAGCCCACTTTCAAGAAGAAATGTTTACAGAAATTCCATTGTTTATCATAGAGCATATATTGAAGGGTACACTCAGAACTGAGAGCAAGGAATTGATAACTGACGTGCTCATCAAACTGCACACTTGAAGTATATTTAGTTTGGTGTATGTCGGTTATAACTCAATAAACTTTCAAACTGATACATTCTGACAGCCAAAGAATACAATCTGAGGAGAGGTTCTAGATATAAAAGACAGACATAAAAATAAACAAGAAAAAATAACTTGGAAGGAGTAGATTATTTAGGTAGAAGAAAACTTACACATTCTATCATACATTTGGAGAGATAAGTAAAGACACTGATTTTATGAAATTAGAACAGGATGCAGGGGATGGGAAGAGGAGGAAGATGCATAAACAATAGTTCTGCAAATTAAGAAAATTACTATAGCCAAAATGAAAAAAAAAGGAGTTAGAGAAATGCTTTCAAAATTCTGAAGGTAAATTATTTCCTACTTAGGATTCTATACTCAGCTAACTATATTTAAAATGAGAGAACATCTGCTGATATGCAAGGCCTCAAAACTATCTCCCATTTACCCTGTGTTAATTTTCTGTGGCCTTTGTAAAAAAATTACTACGCTTTGCTGTATTCAAGAGACACATATAGTTGAAATTTAAAAACACAGGCTGAAAGCAAAAGCATAAAAAAGATACCTCACAAATGGTAATTATAAGAAAACTGGTATAGCTTTATTATCATCAGACAAAATAGTCTTCAGAACAAAGAGTATTGCTAGAGATAAAGAGGGATATTTCATAATTATAAAAGAATTCATCAAGAACACATAAAAATCCTAAATTTTTATGTATTTATGTATATATGTCCCTAAATGTGTATGTTCCTAATAAGAGACCTTAAAAGCATAGGGAAAACAAATGTTGACAGAACTAAAAGGAGAATAAGAAAATGAACAATCACAGTTGGGAACTTGAATACTCTTTCTTAGTAACTGTTAGAAAAGAATATGGATAAACAGTAAGGATATAGAAAATGTGAACACTATAAATGAACCTGATTCAGTAGATGTTTATAAAATACTGTATACGACAACTGAAAAATACTCATTTTTTTCAAAAACTTACAGAACATTCAAGAAAGACTATATGGTGAGCAGCAAACTAAGTCTCAAATTTCAGAAGATTGAAACCATGCAAAGTAAATTCTCTGAACACAAATAAATTAGAAATTGAAAAAAATATATGTGGACAATCCATAGAAATTTGAGAATTAATCAACATATTTTAATAACCCAGGTATCAAAAATTCACAAGGAAATTTAGAAATGATGTTGAACTGTATGATAAGGGAACCACAACATATTAAAATTTGGTGGATACAGCTCACGTGGTATAAAGAGGAAATTTATAATTTTAAATATTTATATTAGAAAACAAGAAAGATCTAAAATCACAACCTAAGCTTTCAATAGGAAGCTAGAAAATAAAGAGTAAAATAAGCCCAAAGTAAGCAGAAGAAAGTAATAAGGATAAGAATAAAATTTAATATAATGGAAAACAAATAGTGAAGAAAATCAACAAAGTCAAAGTTAGTTCTTTGAAAATGTTAATACAATTGATAAACATGTGGTAAGATTGATCAATAAAATTAAGTTGATTCAATTGTATTGATTAATCAATTAAAATCCCCACAAATTATCAACATTAAGAATGAGATGCTATAATCATAGATCTTACAGACATTAGAGGATATAAGGGGCTATTATAAACAACTTCATGCCAACATATAAACATAATAAATGTAGAGGAAATGGACAAATTCCTTGAAAAACACAACTATTGGAAGACTTAAATAACTGTTCCTATGAAAGAAAACTGAACTCCTAATTTAAAACCTCCACAAAGAAAACCCCTAGTTCAAATGACTTCACAGGAAAAATCTATTAAACATTTAAGGAAGAAATAATACCAATATTACACTAACTCTTTTATAAGATAGAGGAGCAAAGAACATTTTCTAACTCATTTTATAAGATACTATGGCTCTAATACCAAATTTTGATGAAAGATATTTCAAGAAAAGAAATATTCAAACAAATATCTCTCATAAACTAGATACAAAACTCTTTAATTACAGATTAGCAAATTGAAATCAATAATATAAAAAGGACAATATATTGTGACTGAGTTGGGTTTATCCTAGTAATGCCAGGTTGCTTTGACATTCTAAAACAACATAACTCACAAATTTAATCAACAGAATTAATAGATTTAAAAATAAAATCATCTAATGAGCTCAATAGTTAAAGAAAAAGCACTTGAAAAACTCCAATACCCATTTATGATTTGAAAAGAAAGATCTCATAAAACCAGAAATAAAAGAGAACCTCCTCAATCTAATAAAAGACATCTAAGGGAAATCTAGTTAATTTCATGATTAATGGTAAAACATTAAAGATGTTCCCTTTAATATGGGAGATAAGGCAAGATATACACTCTTGTTATTTCTATTCAACAACACACTAAGGTACTTGCCCAGTGTCTTAAGGCAAGAGAGAGAAATAAAAGATATAAATACTGGGATAAAAAGAAATGAAATTGTCTTTTATGGAAGTAACATGATGGTCGACATAGACAACATAAAAGTATTAACCAACAATTTTAAAAACTCTACTACTATATTTGATAAGTCACTTTAGCAAGGTCTCAATATACATGACCAATATACAAAAGCCATTGTGTGTGTGTGTACACACACACACACACATATATGTATATATATATTTATGTACATACAATTATATATAACTATTTTTATATATGCAATTATATATATATAACCAACAAATAGTAAATAAATAAATTCCACTTGTAATAGCATCATATATAAAGAACCTATGAATAGATTTAGCAAAAGAAATAAAAACACCTCTGCACTAAAAAACCACAAAATATTAAGGGAAATTAAAGAAGATCTGAATAGATGGAGAG